TGCCTATCCATCCATCCATTCATCCATCCCTGCATCCTATCTGCCTATCCATCCATCCATTCATCCACTCCTGTATCCTATCTGTCTATCCATCCATTCATCCATCCCTGCATCCTATCTGCCTATCCATCCATCCATTCCTATATCCTATCTGTCTATCCATCCATTCATCCATCCCTGCATCCTGTCTATCCATCCATCCATCCATCCCTGTATCCTATTTGTCTATTCATCCATCCATCCCTGCATCCTATCTATCCATCCATCCATTCATCCATTCCTGTATCCTATCTGTCTATCCATCCATTCATCCATCCCTGCATCCTATCTGTCCATCCATCCATCCCTGCATCCTATCTGTCTATCCATCCATCCATTCCTGTATCCTGTCTATCCATCCATTCATCCATCCCTGCATCCTATCTGTCCATCCATCCATCCATCTATTCCTGCATCCTGTCCATCCATCCATCCATCCATCCATCCATCCATCCATTCCTGTATCCTATCTGTCTATCCATCAATCCATCCATCCATCTATCCATCCCTGCATCTTATCTATCCATCCATCCATCCATTCCTGCATCCTGTCTATCCATCCATCCATCCATCCATCCATCCATCCATCCATTCCTGCATCCTGTCTATCCATCCATCCATCCATCTATCCATCCATCCATCCATCCATCCATTCCTGTATCCTATCTGTCCATCCATCCATCCATCCATCCATCCATCCATCCATCTATCCATCCCTGCATCCTATCTGTCTATCCATCCATCCATCCATTCCTGTATCCTATCTATCCATCCATCCATCCATTCTTGTATCCTGTTATCCATCCATCCATTCCTGCATCCTATCTGTCCATCCATCCATCCATCCATCTGTGTATCTTATCTGCCCATTCATCCATCCATCCATCCCTGCATCCTATCTGTCCATCCATCTATCCATCCCTGCATCCTATCTTTCCATCCATCCATCCACCCATTCCTGCATCCTGTCCATCCATCCATCCATCCATCCATCCACCCATCCACCCCTGCATTCTATCTATCCATCCATCCATCCACCCACCCACCCATCCACCCCTGCATTCTATCCATCCATCCATCCATCCACCCCTGCATCCTATTTGTCTATCCATCCATCCATCCACCCATCCACCCCTGCATCCTATCCATCCATCCATCCATCCACCCCTGCATCCTATTTGTCTATCCATCCATCCATCCACCCATCCACCCCTGCATCCTATCCATCCATCCATCCATCCACCCCTGCATCCTATCTGTCCATCCATCCATCCATCCACCCATCCACCCCTGCATCCTGTCTATCCATCCATCTATCCACCCCTGCATCCTATCTGTCCATCCATCCATCCATCCATCCATCCATCCATCCATCCATCTATCCATCCATCCACCCCTGCATCCTATCTGTCTATCCATCCATCCATCCATCCATCCATCCATCCATCCATCCACCCCTGCATCCTATCTGTCCATCCATCCATCCATCCATCCATCCATCCATCCATCCATTCACCCCTGCATCCTATCTGTCTATCCATCCATCCATCCCTGCATCCTATCTGCCTATCCATCCATCCATCCCTGCATCCTATCTGCCTATCCATCCATCCATCCCTGCATCCTATCTGCCTATCCATCCATCCATCCCTGCATCCTACCTGTCTATCCATCCATCCATCCCTGCATCCTATCTGTCTATCCATCCATTCATCCATCCCTGCATCCTATCTGCCTATCCATCCATTCATCCATCCCTGCATCCTATCTGTCTATCCATCCATCCATCCCTGCATCCTATCTGTCTATCCATCCATCCATCCCTGCATCCTGTCTATCCATCCATCCATCCCTGCATCCTATCTGTCCATCCATCCATCCCTGCATCCTGTCTGTCCATCCATCCATCCATCCATCCATCCATCCACCCCTGCATCCTATCTATCCATCCATCCATCCACCCATCCACCCCTGCATCCTATCTGCCTATCCATCCATCCATCCACCCCTGCATCCTATCTGTCCATCCATCCATCCATCCATCCATCCATCCATCCATCCATCCATCCACCCCTGCATCCTATCCATCGATCCATCCATCCATCCATCCATTCCTGCATTCTGTCTACCCATCCATCCACCCCTGCATCCTATCTTTCTATCCATCCATCCATCCCTGCATCCTATCTGTCCGTCCATCCATCCATCCCTGCATCCTATCTGTCTATCCATCCATCCATCCATCCTCCATCCATCCATCCCTGCATCCTGTCCATGTATGTATATATCTATTCCTAATTTTAAAAGGCAAAACTGGGATCAGGCCATTTGTTTTGTTTTCCAACTTGCTATTTTTACTAATCAACAGCCACGGGCCTTCCCTGTGTTACCGGCTGGCCTCCCAGCTTATGGTTTCCGGCTACTCACCTCCCGCCCCACCTAAAATGCTTATTTATCAAATTAAGCGGGATAAAGAAACACCAATGGTTTCATGTCAGTTCAGATCAAATTTTGCTGCTAAAAGATTATGCAACAAACCTACAACTTTTTTATTTTCATTTTTCAACACCAGGCGCTGTTTAAACAGCTCATGGTTTTCGACGGGTGCACCACGTCTGGACTGGAGCTGGGGTTCACTGAGACCAGCCTCCCTGGCCTTTTACTGGGCTGATGTTAAAATTAGGCCTCTTAGGCAACACAGCACAATGTCACCAGTTTGAATTCCAGAGAATCGGAATTTACAACAATTAAGTTTATGGCGAGACCGTTTGCCAAGGAAACTGATAGTAACAAGATGGCAAAAGTCGAGCATTAATCAGTGGAAGAGAAAAACAACATGTCTCGGAATGACAGGGCTGGAAGGGAATGCCTGGAGGAGGAGGTGGCCCGGACAGAGCAGTGCCGCGTCCTGGGGCTCCTGCCTCCCTGGCCCTTCTGGGACACCAGGCTGCCTTCGGGGAGATTCCACAGCCCACTCACTGACCCATCCCAGCCCCTCCACGCCATCCAAGAGGGAGGAGCAGGCCCGTCCGATGGGACGTGGGGCTCACGCCGAGAGGCCTACAGGGACAATGGCAGAACGAACGACAGGCCACAGGGTCCCCCGTCCTGGCCCGCTCATCTGTCCACCGTCAGACTTTAAGGATAGGTGGGCGCAGACCAAGCACCCCAAACTAGAGCAGAGCCCCCTCCAGCCCACTCAGCACTGCCGGGGCCCTTGCAGTCCAGCCCACGCCCGCCCCTCCTGTTTCCCGGACGAGGCTTGGGCCTTGGACACGCTGACTTGCAGGGTGAGCGTCATCCGGAAGCCCTGGGCTGTCCTCTCGGGCTTTCGGAGAGAGTCCATGGGCTTCTCAGCGACACAGCCCACCCGGAGTAGGAGCTTCACAGCGACTTTCTAGGAGAGACGCTGGTTGCGGGAAGGGGCCTGGCGGGCAGGGGAGCTGAGAGGGCGCTACGGAGGCTCTATCCTTCTTCAGCTGTCCCAGCGGGCCAGGCTGCGGGGACCTGGCAGGCCAGCGCTGTGGCTGCAGAGCTAATGAAAGTGTTTAAAGACAAGCGTGGGAAGGGCCGTGTTCCGGCGCTTCCTCCGGCCCGGCTGAGGATCTGCCCAAAGCGCGCTCCTGAGCGGCAACGGCAGAAGCAAGGCTGGGCTTTGGCGTCCAGCCTTTGCTGGGGTTTTTGCGTGACTTGTATCAGACTTTGTCCCTGGGGTCAACTCTAGCGTGCCCACACTGTGTTTAGGTTCTGGCCCAAGCCCAGGGTCTGGGGACAAAGGGTGGGTGGAGCAGGGCCGCCCCGTGCCGTGAGGCAGACCAGGGGGGACAGAGCAGGGAGCCCCTCGGCGCAGTCCCCAGCCTCACGGGGCGAGAGCCTGGTGCTGCGTTCCTGAAATCATCTTCAACCTAAGAGGGATCCCAGATTCCTGGAAGAAGGCTGAGCATTTTATATAAAAGGGAAGAAACACTGTGAAAGTCAATTCAGAGAAATGGAGAAATCTGTATTTGAGTCAGAGGAATTATATATTTAATAATGTCAAAGAAGGCCGGGCGCGGTGGCTCACGCCTGTAATCCTAGCACTCTGGGAGGCTGAGGCGGGCAGATTGCCTACGGTCAGGAGTTTGAAACCAGCCTGAGCAAGTGTGAGATCCCGTCCTAAAAATATATAGAAAAAATTAGCCGGGCATGGTGGTGCATGCCTGTAGTCACAGCTACTCGGGAGGCTGAGGCAGGAGGATCGCTTGAGCCCAAGAGTTTGAGGTTGCTGTGAGCGAGGCTGACGCCGAGGCACTCTAGCCCAGGCAACAGAGTGAGGCTCTGTCTCAAAAAAAAAAAAAAAAATGTCAAAGAATAAGTAAAAAATTTCTTTAAGGCAAGTCCATAGCCAGGTAATATGAATGTAGTTTAAAGACGGCCAATTCTAGCTAGATGAGTCCTTTAACTTAACAAGCAGAAAACAGCTCGTGACAGCTCATATATACTAGACGAGGCTGTGTGTGTGAGCACACGCATATACACATGTGTCTCCGTGAGGGTGTACACGTGTATGGGCATACATACGCGTCTGTCTCTGTGTGTGTGTGTGTGTGCATGTAGCCGTGTATGTGAGTGCATCGGTGCATCCCTGTGTTTATGTGTGAGCACCTATGGGAGTGTGTGTGTGAGTGTATCTGCATGTGTCTGTGTTTACACTTGTGTGCACGTGAGTGCATCGGTGCATCCCTGTGTTTATGTGTGAGCACCTATGGGAGTGTGTGTGTGAGTGTATCTGCATGTGTCTGTGTTTACACTTGTGTGCACGTGAGTGCATCGGTGCATCCCTGTGTTTATGTGTGAGCACCTATGGGAGTGTGTGTGTGAGTGTATCTGCAAGTGTCTGTGTTTACACTTGTGTGCACGTGAGTGCATCCGCATGGGTCTCTGTGTGTTTGCACGTGTGTGCGTGTGGGTATGTCTATGTGTCAGTGTTATCTGTGTGCCGGTGCATTTATATGTGTGTGCATGTGTGTGTATATGTGAGTGTCATCTGCATGTTTCTCTGTGCATTTACACATGTGTGTACCGTGAGCATGTATGTGAACGTACCCCTCTGGTCTGGGCCCAGAGCGGCAGCGTGTCCACGGGGCTCCTGGCCACCTCCCCAAACAGCTAGTTCCCAGCAGCTACGCAGGGTCAGGGCTGCACTCTGAGAATCTGGCTGAGCAGGTCCCCAGGGGCCAGCACGAGGGGTGCAGCCGCAGGCCCTTCTCCTGGGAAGGACCCCCTTCTGCCCTCCGCAGTTCCTGGAGTGTCTGGCTACCCACATCCTTGGGGCCAGGCTGTGTCGTCTCTGGGGTCCCTCTGGAGCTCAAACTCCCTAGGGCTCAGCCCGGTACAGCACCTGGCCACCTCCTGCTCACACAGAGGCCACTGGAGTCTGGGAAGCGGTCAGCTGGGGGCACCCCGAGAGGGCGAGCCCACAGCCTGCGTGGCCCCCCAATATCAACGGGGACAATAAAACCACCTTGAAGATCCAATGATCAGAGAACTCTTAAAATGTCGACACAACTTGAAAAGCATCAGTACGACTATGGAAACCACGTTCCAACTTATTTGGATGGATCAGGTGTTGCATGATCCAGAATTTTCTTTTTCTTGAAAACATCACAAGTGATACAGACAAGACACGAAAAGCGTCATTTGGTCGGTCTTAACAGATCCCAACCAGCCAGACTTTTTGGTGGCTCTGTGACCCCTAACGGCCTCGTGCTTGGATGCTGCTTGCTCAGCGTCTGGGCGAGTGACCGGGGTGCCCGCGGGCCCAGCCTTGCCTCGGCACCGGCAGAGCTCTCCGCGCCGCCGAGCTGCGCTTGAGCCCAGAACCTCGAGGCGTGTGGCCTTCTGGCACCGGTCCTTACATTACGGCTGAGGACACAAAGGACGAGTGGCTTGACGCTGTTTTCCTCGCAGAATGTGGGCTTTCTGGTAGCTGAATCAAGACTCGAACCAGCTGGGTTACTCACTAGCTCTCTGCTGTGCTTTTGCGCGGCCGGAAACCCAGGGGTGGCCGTGCAGCAGACACGTGCACTGGGACCACAGCGCGGGCCAGTGTGGGGACACGGTCCTCCTTTATGCAAAAAGGGACCCCGCGAGACCCTGAGGGGAGGCTCCGGGAGGGGCTGAGCGCGTCCCTGCCACGGAAAGAACACGCATGCCACACGCTGCTTTTAACACAGAAAAGAAAACGCCCAGTCGGGGACTGCTCTAGCCTCTTCCGACTTCAGAGGGAAACCTGAAGCCGGTGCCTCCGCGCTCGGCTCCTCCCCGTTCCAGGTGGCTGCCTGGAGTCGAGGTTAAAGGGCGGACTCGAGGAAAGGAAGCAAACCCACTCACGTTCGACCCTCTTCTCCAGCACTGCCAAGTGGTTCGCGACTTCGGCTTTCAGTTCGTTGATTTTGAACGCTCTAGGGATGAAAAAAAAAAGAGAGAGAGGAAACATAACCCTGTGAATTCCCAGAGCTAACACCGGTTCGGCAGACGGCTACCGGGGCTGGGGAGGGGCCGGGGCCGAGAGCCGGGAGTGGTTTGCAGAACTCGCGGTCCCGCGGGCAGGGGAGCGCTCCCAACTACCGCGAGGAGTGTTTTCTAACACGGAGACACCTGCCGCACCACGCGGGCAGGTGTACTCATGCCCTCAGACCTGGGCAGTGGACACAGGGGCTCTGCCCGTGAAGTGGGGACGGCCCCGTCCCCACGGCCTGCCCCGCTGGGCACAGACACCCTCAGGGGACCTGGTCTCCTCCCTGGGGGCTCCAACCCACTCAGTTAGACGGCACACCGGCTTTTAAAAAAATGGTCTCCACTTGCCCTTTCCCCCGTTTTAATTACTCTGGGGCAGTAAGATGCCGGAGGGAGAGCTCGGTTTGGCGAAGTGGAAACACAGTATTTACGCTAGACCTGGTGGGGTGACTCAGGATGGAAGGGAAGCAGCCCGACTGCTCAGCGCCCCAGTGAGAAAGCGTGTTTTTAAAGCGCTGTCACAGTTCTGGCAGATTATTCTCCTGGTCCCAGAAGAGCCGGGGAGGGGGGAGAAAACCCTCATTCTAGAAGTGCCTACTCGACAGGGTCTTTGGCACAAGGTGAGCCTTCCCCGGCCCCACCCGGGCTGGCTCAGGTACAAAAGCCACAAAAGGGTTCCACTCCCAGGGCAGCTTCTCGGGGTGGGAGACGCGTCCCAGCGGCTGCCAGCCCGCCTCACGGAGTAGCGGGGCCGCCTTTGCGGTGGAGAGAAACAGCCCGTCCCGCACCGCGTGCTCGGAGGAGCCCGTACCTTGAGAACTGCTCCGCCACCTGGGCCAGCGCCGCCTGCACGAGCTCTTCTCTCTCTGGAAACGAAGCGGACAGGATGGAGCACGGGAGACAGGGAAGGGCGTGCGGGCACCGCGGGCCCCGACCCCACCGGGCGTGCGCGCAGGTGTGGCCGAGGAGCCACCCGGGTGACCTGGAGGGGCGCGCTGGCCTCCCGCAAGCAGCCTGGGCCCCCCGCCTGCCACGCTCTTTCCCTCCCCGGCCCCGCGGAGAGTGTCCGGGGCTCCCGGTCGGTCTCCCGTCCTTGGCAGCAGCTATAAAAAGCAGGCAGGACCGGGTCTCTAAACACGGGAAGTTTTCCCCGTTGCCTGGGTCTATTTTATAGGGGCAATTACCGTGACAGAGTGAGTTCAAGTGCAAAACACGGTGTTCTCATGCCGGTCTGCGGAGAGGAAGCTGGCCGGGTCAAGCGGGTTTGTCCCTTTGTTGCCTGGCCCGTAAAAGTGGGCTGGGCGGCTGGTTTTATAAGGTCTACCAGGGCCGAGTGCACCCTGCCTGGTTCCCTGTGTCCCGGCCGGGCCCAACGCCGGACCCTCGCCGGGCTGAGTCTCGAGTTCCCATTTTCTATGCTGCCCTGATGCCTAACCCTCCGCTGTAAACAAAGTAAATAAAAAACAAAACAAAACCAGCCCAAACAAACAAAAAATTCCAATAATCCAATGTGTCGATGGGGCTCAAAAGCTAAAAATGCTCATATCCTCTGACTCAGCGTCCCATTTCTAGGAAATAGGTGCGTACACAAAAGTCACAAGGTTATTTAATAGTGAAACTGTAACAGCCTACGTGTCTGACAAATGCGGACTTGTTAAATAACTGATAATGTATCTGAGCTGTGAAATCATACTCTGCTATTAGAAATAACATCTTGAAAATTGGGAGGGTATACTCCAGAACAATAGTAGTTATCCTTTGGCTATAAGATAATATATGAATTTTTTTTTCTTATTTTTGTTTCTCTGTATCTTATGCATTTTTAAAATAATGAACCTATATTAGTTTCATAAAATGAAAAACCATTTAAAAAGCTAATCAATTTAAATTAATCTCCCAAGACCTCATAGCTTTACCCACCAACAGAGAGGATAGACCAGGTGATCTAAGGTTCCCTTGGACTTTAGCATTCAATGACTTGATAAGAAGAAAAATGATGTTTTATTGTATCTCTTCAAATTGTAAGAATAAAAGTGTCAGCCGGGAAACTGTCACAGAGCCACGGGCTGGGCCGCGGGCTGGCCCAAGGCCACAGCCCTCAGAAAGGCCCCCACCTGCCAGGTGAGAGAAGTGTCCTCCATCAGTTAGGGTGACCAGGAAGTTTCACAGGCCTCTTTGGTGAACTCGACAGGGTTTTAGGTCACTTATTATGAAATCTTTGGATAACATATAATGTATGACATAAACTTGAAGAGTTAATGATCTCGGGGTCTTGAGGTAAATGTCAAAGTCCGTCGAGCAATTAGCGGCCACGGGCCATTTTACCTGGCAACAGCGGGTGCCTACGAGCACGCGCCAACACAGCCCGCGTCTTGGGCCACAGAGAAAACCTCAACCCATTTAGAAGAACTGAAACCATACAGAGTGTATTTTCTGACCGTAAGAGAATCAAACTAGGAATCGATAGCAGGAAGATGGCAGAAAAAGCTTCAAACACGTGGCAACTAAGCAGCACACGTCTAAGCGATTGGTGTGTCAAAGGAGAAGTCTCAAGTGGAATTTAAAAAGACACGGAACTCAAAGGAAATGAAAATGCGACACATCACATTTTGGCAAGAGTAACGCCGGCAGGAAGTTTATGGCACCAAATGCTTATATCAGAAGAGAGGAAAACCCTCAACCCCTTAATCAAAGATCCCACCTGAGCAACCTAGGAAAAGAAGAGTAAAATAAACCCACAACAACAGCAGAAGGAATGGAGGGAATAATGGAGAAAAGAGTAGAAAGGAACTAGAAGACAGCAAAGCAATGCAGAAAATCAGTGAAGCAAACAGCTACAAAAAGCTATTTGAAAATATCAATAAGTTGACAAACTTCTGGCACGACTGACAAAGAAACCAAGAGAGAAGATGCAGATTATCGGTACCAGGGATGAAAGGGGGCGTCACTGTGACCCTGCAGGCACAAAGGGGTGATAAGGGATGCACAAACAACTTTACACGCACTCATTTTACCTCTGAGACAGGACGCACCGATTCCCAGAAAGGCAGGAGCTATCGCAACTCATTCCATAGGAAACAGGTCGCTTGAATACCCTGTAACTACTAAGGATATTCAATTTGTAATGTTAAAAACTTCCTGAAAAGACATTTCCAGGCCCAGATGGTTCCACTGGAGAATCCTACCGAACATTCAAAGAGTAAACACAATTCAAAACAATCTCTTCCAAAAGCAGAGAGAGGGACGGAAAACATCAGTTCATTTTGCAAAGTTAGTATACCCCGGTACCAAATCCAGACAGAGATAACAACAGAAACTACAGACCAATAGCCCTCATGAGTACAGACAAAAAAATCACTACAAAATACTCAGCAAATGGAATTCAGCAACATATACAAAATAATTGTACATGATGGCGAAGTGGGGTTGGTACCAGGAGCGGAGGCTGGTTCTATATTTGGAAACCATCGTCCTAGATTACTTACAATACCTAATGCAAATTATGAAATGCTGTGCAAAGCTCTTACACTGTTTTTCAAAATGAGTTGTCCATACTTTTTATTGTGTAGTGTGTTCATGCTGGTGTGTGGTTCGAAGACCCACAGATGTGGAGCCACTGTACAGCCTTTTTTTCTGTGTTTGTCTTTGTTTTTTTTGTTTTTGTCATTATATTCCTTGTTTCGTTTTTCTTGTTTTCTTTTTTTTTCTCTTCTTCTGCTCTTTTAATACATGTTCTCCCTGTAAATAAGAACAGCGGGGCCTTCAATACTTTATTGGCTTCTTTCGTCAAGAGGAACCCTACCCGGGTTATTTTCAGGAGATGTGTTTAATTGTTTTTAAGTAGGTCCAACAATCTACAAATTTACTTCCAAATATAGTTAAGTTGTCTTCTTCGCTGGAACATCGATCATGCAATCTCCAAACCGCAAATTCCATCTGAATTTCTTGTGACTCTAATTTTCCTCTTAGTACACCATCCGCCCCCAGTTCTCTCCCTTCTAGACCCGTAGAGCTCTCACGGGGGCGGCATGAAGAAGGGCTGCTCGTCTTCTTGCGGCTCCTCGACGGACATGCATCCACACCCCGGGTTGTGGCAGATGCCGCTGACGTAGCACGCCCATGCACTAGGGCTTATTTTTGGGGTGGGCATTCTATTGCGCACACTGCTTAGAATCTGCTGGGGCTTATTGTAGTGGCGTAGCTTATCTCTTCGGGGGAACAGCTGGTAACGAAAGGCTGATGCATTTTCCGCTCAAATGATCGTGCAAGGCAAGGGCATCTGTGCCCAACGCTGTTATTCGCATGGTGCCAGAAAGTTCTGGCCAGTGCCAAAAGACAGAAAAAAGAACAAAACATACAGACCGAAAAACGGAAAAAGAAAAAAGAACTATCCCTTTTGGTTGTTGACATGACTGCCTACATAGACAATCACAAGGAATCTACAACAAACCTCTCCTGGAACTGACATGTGAGTGTGGCAAGGTCAAAGGATAGAAAAACATATAAAATTCAACTGTATGTGTGTATATTAGCAATGACCATGCAGACACTAAAATTAAAAATAGAGTACCATTTACAACTAAAAAAGGAAAAACCAACTTGGGTGTAGACTAACAAAGCATGTGCAGATGTCGTATGCTGAAAACTATAAAACGCCGATGAAGGAAATCGAAGAAGATTATAAATATAACGGCAAGACTGACAATGGTAATGGGTTGGAAGTCTCCACATGGTAAAGATGCCAATTCTCCCCAAATTGGTAAACAGGTTTAATGCAATTTCTATCTAAATCCAGCAAGATATTTTTTGGAGAAATAAAGTTTATGCTAACATTTGTAGAGAAATCCAAAGTAATTAGAAGAGCTAAAACAATTTTGAAGACCAAGACACAACGGGAGGACTCAGTCTATCTGATTTTGAGATTTACTATACAGCTACGGCAATCAACACTGTGAGGTATTGCCAGAGGATAGATGGGGACAGCGAGGGGACGGAACAGGGGACCCCGGCCACAGCCACATGATGTGCCTGATGCTTCCAGGGTGCAAGAGCAAAGGAAGGAAGTGAAAGGGTTCCAACGATGGTGTGGAGCCATTGGACACCCACAGGCAGAGAAAAAAGAGCCTCAACCTAAAACTCCCAGTTTAAATAAAAGTCAATGCAAATGGACCATGGATGTAAAATGTAAAGCTATAAAACATTTAGAAAAAAAGACAGAGAAAATCTTCAGGATCTTTGGTGAGAGGCAGGGAGGTTTTAGGACTTGACCCCAAAAATACAAGCCAGAAAAGGGAAAATTGATAAACTGGACTTCATGGAAATTAAAATTTTTTTTGCTCTGAGAAAGATCCTGTTTAGAGGAGAAAAAGACAAGCTACCATCTGGGAGAAAATACCTGCAAACCACACATCTGACAAAGACATGAGCGTAGACTATGCATAGAACTGTCAGAACTCAACACAGAAAAACAAAACCATGCAGTTTGAAAACGGGCGAGAGATGGCAGACGTGTTTCTGAAGCAGGTCTACAGACGGACGCAGCTTGTGAGAAGATGCACTGTCAGGCATTAGGAAGTGCAGACACAAACCACAGCGAGACCGGCTGCACGTTTGTCAAAAGGGCTGAGACAAAAATGCAACGGCCATGCAGTACTGTTCGACCCCCCTTTGCATTCCTGGGCCAAGAAATGAAAACTACCGTGTTTCCCCGAAAATAAGACCTACCCATAAAATAAGCCCTAGCAGGATTTCTAAGCATTTGTGCAATAGAAGACCTACCCCGAAAATAAGCCCCAGTGACGGGCGTGGCTACACAGCGCGTCTGCACAACCCATGCATGTCGTCTCGGAGCGGGAAAGAAGACGAGCATCCCTTCTCATCTGCCCCGTGAGAGCTCTAGTGCTCGACAGGAGAGATCGAGGCTGATGGTTCTAAAGGAAATAGAGTTGCAAGAAATTCAGGGTGGAATTCAGGATTTGGAGAGTGATGATGATGTTCCAGAAGAAGACGACTTCACTCTATTTGAATAAATGTAGATTGTTGTATCGTACTTAAAAAAATAACACATCCCCTGAAAATAAGCCCTAGGGTGTCTTCTTGAGGAAAAATAAATATAAGACCCTGTCTTATTTTCGGGGAAACACAGTGTGCTCACACAAAACCTGCACATAGTTCTCCTAGCAGCTTTCTCCGTGACGGCCCCAAACTGGGGACAACCAGATGCTCTCCCAGGGCGAGTGCATGAACAAGCTGTGGGCCACCCACGCCACGGATGCCACTCAGCAGCGGAAAGGAAGGAACCATGGCCACAGACAGCTCAGAGGCTCCCAGAGGACAATGACACTGAGTGCAATCCGGCTGCCCCCAAGTTGCCTCTGCGCAGTCACATGTACAGAGCATCACAGGAACGACAGAAGTAGACACGTGGAGACCAGACCAGTGGTGGCTGGGGCTCAGCACTGTGTGGGGAACAGAAGGGACATGGTGTGGCCACGGAAGGCCGGCAGGCGGGAGGGACCCCGGTGGGGACAGAACGTCCTGGATCTGGACTGAGTCAGCGTCAGTCCCCGGCGGTGACATTATTACACTGCAGTTGTGCAATGTGTCACCCTTGAGGGAGGCGTCGCCAAGACCGCCTGGCTGTCTCTACATTTGTTCTCACGACTGCACGCCAACCTGCAATGCCCTCAGAATAAGACGTTTCTAGACGGGATGGAATCAGGAAGTTACAGAGGAGTCTTGCTTGGCACTCTCGAGATGGGCTCCCCCACGCGCTGCGGTAGTTTTACGCCTGAATTTAATCCGGGAGCGAGCAGTGGCGATGCTTTGTGTTTCTCTACCCCCTCCTTCCCCGCCCAGCCCAGCGCTAGGGGTGCACGTTTGTGTTCCTGTCCCAGTTGCAGCCACACCTCAGGCCCCGAGCCACCCGGGCCAGCACGCCCACGAATCTGAGCTGTTCCCAGAAAGGGCACGGATTCCCAGCGGCGCTTCCTGCAACAGACGCCCAGGTCACGGCACTCACGCCGAAGGGACGCAGGTAGCTCGGCACCAGGACCTCGCCCAGCTGTCTCCCCAGGTCATGTGGAGGCACCCTCCCGCAGGGGAGAGGCCCAGCGCTGGCACCGCCAGTGTGCGCAAAGGCCAGCCACACCCACACGCCCACAAACAAAGCCCGGTCAGGAAACGGGCGCCTCCCCTCCCCACCTGGAATGGCTGGAATTCCCGCAGCAGCTGCCGCTTCCTCCCAGTGGATTTCTTGACTAGCTGTGCCGGGTTGCACGCGTGGACAGTGCCCAGGACAGCGCCTGCCCGGGGGAGCTGCCCGTCTCAGCGATTACTGTGTCTCGGGGCCGACGACAGGCGCAGGTGCCCTGACTTCCTTTCTTGCTTCCACTGCCTTCTCTGGGACGTCACCGTCCCAGGGTGACAGGTGAGCTCTGGGCACCACCTCCAGGCCGAGAAGCAGTGGTTCCTACCTGTGACATCCTGAATATGGTCTTCACCCCCCCACCCCCGGCGCCTCCAGAATCTTCACCAAGCCTGATACCGCTGGATTTGGAGGCAACAAGCAGTTCCAACTGCGCATGTTAGTCATTCCCGGCCTTTGTGGCAGAACCACATCGTATCAGCAACATCTGGTGTAATGCATGGCCCCTGCCTGTCTTCCTTAAATGCCGCACGGTATATACACTGAATTCTGAAAATTAAAGCATATTCAAGTAGTTTTGCTTCAAGAGTTTTTAAAAAGTGAAGAATAACCAGCAATAGCCCAGGATGCTGGTGATTTGCAGTTGGACAGAACCCGCAAGGTCTCCGAGCACCTGGGGGAGTGGGAGCGAGGCCCGGAGCGGGAGCGAGGCCCGGAGCGGAGGAGCCCGCGGGAACGATCGCTGGCCACGCAGGCGGGACCGAGGGACAGCGTGCGGATGTGCGTGCAGAAGGCACCTGTTGTCCAAAGGAAACCGTCCCACCGACAGCCAACGCAATGCCTAAGTGTGCCCAAGTCTGGGGCACTAGAGTGGGGTTCCAGGGTGCTGCTCCAAGCTCCCTAAATTTGCTCCCGCACACCAGTGACCTTAACAGACACGAAAGCGCCGGCCATGGAAATGCACAGGTGTCAGCGTAGGGGTTTGAGCCGGCCCCTCCCGGCCTCGCCGAGTCCGGCTGCTCTCTGCGTGCTCTGGACTGGCGAAGGTGGCTCATCGGGGTGCCGGGCCCCGCCTGCCTCCTCACGTGACAAGCACTGGGTCTCTCACATGTCACAGGGGAGTTGAGTTTCGTTCCAAGGCCACCTGGGAATCCGGCAGGGTCTGGGTCCTGCTTTTAAGACGCTGCCGAGTCCGTCCAGCTCTGGGCCATGGATTTGCAAGAGGCGGCCCTGGACCCGCCCACTCGAGCAGAACCAAGGGGCTGGGATGAAGCAAAACCCGGGAGGTGCGGAGGTGACCCTGTGGGGCTGCCCACTCCAGGTTCCTTGGTGGCACTCGGCCTCGGGGGCGGCAGCAGGTGCCCGGCCCCCGGGTGCTCACACGGCTCCTCTCACGAGTGACCGGGGCAGAGTCTGCCCCCTGCCCCCGTCCCGCGCCCAGAAGCCGTCACCTGGCCCCACCTTAGGCTGCAGTGGACAGTTCAAGGAACCTGCCCGGCCTTGCTCACCTCCTCCAGGAACTGCTTACTTGTTTCAGATAAATCCCGAGTCTGCCCAGCGCAGAAGGACGTGAAATTTGGTTTGGCTGATCCACACCACGGCCCAAGCTACAATTCCACCTCCGAAGATTACTTTAACTCAACACACTAATTAGATCGGCCAGCGAGCTGATCTGCATCTCTCTCTTTTTTTTTTTTTTTTTAAATCTTGTTCTGGGGAGAGCAATAACAGCAATAGCAATTCTTCTGTCCCCAGACACCGAGCGGGTTTGGGCACGCACTCTCTTCTCCCTGGTGCATGGTTGCAAACTCAGCCCCAGCGACACGCTGGCCCCCAAACCTGTGCAACCAGGGAGGGGACCTGGAACAGCAGCAAGGAATTTGCATCCCGAACCTCTGACCTGCAACGGTGGGGCGCGCAATAGCACAGGCAGGCGTGAGTGTGGGCTCACGCGGAGCCCACGCCGGCCCCGTCTGCCCCAGTCTCTCCTGATGGCGGGCACCTGCTGCACAGCGCGCTGGGCTCACGGCCACACGCCATTAACATGGTGCAGCCAGCCACGGCTCTCCTTATCAGATACTGCCTAACAAACTTTTATTTTTTTTACACTCTGCTGTTCCTTTAGAAAGGGGTAGCTTACTTTTGCTTTAGGGACAACAACCTACATTACTTGGCCCCAAAGGTCCTGAGGGTGGGGGAGGTGCGCTTATTTCCTGAGCGCCCAGGCTCTGCCAGGGAAGGGCCCGAGGCTTCCCGCTGGCTGGCAGGGGTGGGGAGGGTCACCGGCCCTCTTCCCGGGAAGCCGACTCACCTCTTGTTCCACTTTTGCTCTCTCCCGACCCCGGCAGCCGCCCTCGCACCTCCCAACTGACCAAGGATGTTCTAACGCAGGGAACAGTCACTGGCAATTCACTGTTTATGGACACCATAAAAAAGATGTTCGGAATGAGGAGGACATTTCCTTTATAGCCCAGGAGGACAATAAAGTTATATGATTAACGGTGACCTCGCCTTGCTTCTTAAAGGCGCAGCAGCCCTCTCTGTGGCTGGTCCCCCTGCCGGGGACTGGCACACTTTCACCAGCAGCCAGAGGGACACCCTGGACAACTGGTGCCTCAGCCGATACTCGGTGTAACAGGGACAGCACAGTGTGCGGGAGACCCCGGCGACCACACGGGGAACCGTGGAGAGTGGCGTGCCCCTGCCCTGTCGTTTCAGATTCACGGCACCCCAGGGCAGGCCCTGGGCTGAATTTCCTCCCTTCCATTGTTGGAGAGGGGCGATTTCATGTCGGGTGCAGCGTGCGCTTGACTGCAGGTATCTGGGTATAATTTCCACGCCCTCCTCCCTTCCCTAGCAAAGCTGCAAGCCTCTGGCACGGCTTACACTCGATTCCCTCCCCTGCTTTATGGACCGTGGCCCCGTGGCATCTTTACTGAGCACCTGCTGTGCTCCAGCTGTTGTTCTGGGCGGCCTGAGCACGTTACCTCACTTTAATTCTCCTGATACCCTGTGGCGGCTGCATGACTTCGGGAGGGGCCACGGCCACGGCCCCATCACCCCTGGGCCGCCCCGCCCTCATCACGCTGTTGTTCGGGGCTGCAGAGATGGGCGGGGCTGCACTCACCCACGGGGGTGGCGTGGGGGGAAGATGATCTGCACCGGTGTCTCCCCTTTCTTCTGGGGGACCCCTCCCCGCTGGCTGGATAAACTCCTGGGGAAGAGGGGTGTGCACGCCCACCTGGATGTCCTCCGGGGAATTTGGATGGGGGGCCAGATGGCACGTGCTGGGGGGGCTTCATTACACGGAGCCCTGCATGCGTCACTGTGACCCGACAGTCCCATGGGAAAGGTGAATTATGGTGAAGCCGAAGGGAACCGGCTCGGGTTCATCGTGTCTGGGGCTCTGACCCCCAAGACTAGTTCCAGGAAAAAGGCTGTCAGGATAAAGTCCGATCCAATGAATGAACCAACTATGATGCAAATGACAGGATGTTTGCAAAAAATCTAGCAAAGACTTAGTCTTTTTGCAAACTGAAGGTTTCACTACATCTGTGGACTGTAACAGGTGGCGCAGGCCTGTAAAGCTTGTAGCAAGAGAAATAAAAAATAGCCGACTGATTGCTGTAATAACAAAAAGGCAGGAAGCAACACAAATACCCATCAATCGCATAAACAAAGTGAAGAACTATACTGCTGGAAAAATATGGAAGATTTCTATGTCCTGCTAAGGCGCGACCTTACGTTGTAGGCGGTAAGGACCTAAGCAGAAAGTTGCAGGTTTATCTGGCTGAAGCATCAGAGGACAGACTTTTAGGTTGTCAGAGAAGATGGACATGAAAGGGGGAATCCCCAAAGTAGGAACCTTGGGGGGCTGCACATTCTTCTGTGCAAACTCAGTTTACCGTGTAAACTGCTTCTTGGTTGACCCGACTTGCGCTTGTGTGTGGGTCTAGGAGGATGAAAGAGCTTAGCAGGGATTTCAGCTCCAAATGCAGGGGAGACAAAGTTTGGAGCCTGGGTTTAGCCCAGTTTGAGGGGCTTAATAAACACCTCGGGCTTCCTGCTAACATCCCAGAAGGGTCGCTCTAGAGATCTCTCCCAACAAGGCATAAAACCAAGCCTCCAGAAGTTTGAGGTCATCTGTCAGTAATGTAACTGACTGCCAGAACAGAATCAACACTCCTCAGAGAAAGATAACCAAATCCAGAGTCGCTGCAATGTGTTGTTCACAATGTTAGCATGCAATAAAAAACGGACATGCAAAGAAACAGGAAAATGTGACCTACTGTCAAGAGAAAAATCACCCAAGAGACATCCTGGCTAATTCAGATGTTGAATTAGCAGACACAGACTACAACTCTGCAATTATAAGTATGTCCCATAACCTAAACAAAAAAGATGTTAGTAAATAGTAAACAGGTGGGGAATCTCAAGAGGAAAAATCTATGAATAAGAATCAAGTGAAGGCCGGGCGGGTGGCCTCACGCCTTGTAATCCTAGCCACTCTGAGGAACCAGGCGGGGCAGATTGCTCAAAAGATCAGGGGAGTTGAACACAGCCTGAGCAAGGCGAGGACCCCGTCTCACGCATACTGACAGAGAAGAATTAAATGGTCAACTAAATATAATAGAAAAATTAGCCGGGCATGGTGGCGCATGCCTGTAAGTGCCACAGCTACGATCAGGGAGGCTGAAGGCAGAGGATTGCTGTTGAGCCCAGGAGTTTGAGGTTGCTGTGAGCTAGGCTGATGTCATGGCACTCACTCTAGCCTGGGCAACAAAGCGAGACTCTGTCTCAAAAATACATATATATATAAAGAATCAAGTGAAAATTTTAGAATTTAAAAAATATAATGTCTGGATTATATTATAGATGTGCTTACAGCAGTTTAGAATCAGCAGAAGAAAGAGTTAGGGCAGATGAATAAAAATAACTCACTCTGAAGAGCAGAGAGAAAAAGATTTTTTTTTTAAAAGAACAAACAGAGCCCCAGTCACCTGAGACATAACAGCAAACTTTCTAAGACACATGTAATTAGTGAGAAATATTGGTGCATATAATACATTTAAAGAAATATGGCTAAAAATTTTACGAATATGGTTAAAACACACATTTATAGTCCATGGAAACTCAATGAACACAAAGAAGGATAAACAAAAAGAAAATCAGACAAAATCAGATCGTAGCCAAATTGCTGAAACCCAAAGATACAGGGAAAAAGAAAAACGCCTTAAAAGCAGCTAGAGAAAGGACACATTCCATACAGGGGAATGATGGTAAAATAAACCTGACTTCTCATCGAAACAATAGAAGCTGGGGAAAAAAATGAATCAACATTTTTAATTTCTTTAAAGAAAACAAAAAATCCTTGTGAATGAAAGAATTCTATAGCCTGAAAAACGATCATTCAAAATGAAGGCAAAAGAAAGACACGTTCCACTAAGCAAAAGATGAGCGAATCAGTCACTAACAGATCTGCAATGCAAAAAATGTTAAAACAGAAAAGAAGTTCTCCAGGCTTAAGGCATAGAATACAAGTTGGGAGATGGGACAGGCAGGAAGAAATAAAAGCATCAGAAATGAGGCCAGGTGCGGTGGCTCACACCTGTGCTCCTAGCTTTCTGGGAGGCTGAGGTGGGAGGATCGATAAGGTCAGGAGTTCAAAACCAGCCTGAACAAGAGCGAAACGCTGTCTCTACTAAAAGTAGAAAGAAATTAATTGGCCAACTAAAAATATATAACCTGTAATCCTAGCGCTGTGGGAGGCTGATGCGGGCGGATTGCTCGAGGTCAGGAGTTCGAAACCACCCTGAGCGAGACCCCCGTCTCTTACTAAAAAATGAAAGAGAATTAATTGACCGACTAAAAATATATATAACAAAAAATTAGCCGGGCATGGTGGCGCATGCTATAGTCCCAGCTACTTGGAGGCTGAGGCAGAGGATCACTTGAGCCAGGAGATTGAGGTTGCTGGAGCTAGGCTGACGCCACGGCACTCACTCTAGCTGGGCAACAAAGTGAGACTCTGCTGTCTCAAAAAAAAAAAAAAAATATATATAATATATACTATGTAGTAGAAAAAAGTTAAGCCCAGGTGCATGTTGG